GAGAAGGCTAGGTGTAGATCTTTCCTACCAGAAGATCAGGGGTGTGGCTGAAAGACTGCAGTAAGAAGAAGCGAAGTGGTAGCAGAAGAAAGGCTGCGGAAAGATTCAGGAGCCCAGAGGAAGGGGCAAAGGAGGTGAGGGGGTGGGGGCAGAAAGAGGAGACGAAAGCAGACGACAGAACATTGCTAGAGAGCAGGAAATGAGGTGAAAGGAGACACATTTAGAAAAGAATTTTTTTCGGTCGCTACCCGGATTCGAACCCGGGACCTTTTGAGTGAGAGGCCAACACCTTAACCTCAAGGCCACGAGAGCCCCGACCTATTCTTTAACATACATAATATAATGAGCATTATCACTTTGCTAAAACTATTTAAAAAAAGCTTTTCTTTTTTTACTCCACATTTCCCCCCCCCAGATCAGACAGTGAGACAGTAGGTCTGGAACTTTTTTTGTTTTTTGTCAGAATGAAGAACACTATTTTATGACACAAACAAGATGGCTGTTACTATAAATATCCGCCAATGGCGTACTCCTAACGTTCTGTAACTATCCGCATGTATACTACAGACCCTGTGAATATTCCCTTGGTCCACTGCACATATTATACTACAGACTACAGACCCTGTGAATATTTCCTTGGTCCACTGCACATATCATACATATACTACAGACCCTGTGAATATTCCCTTGGTCCACTGCACATATCATACACATACTACAGACCCTGTGAATGTTCCCTTGGTCCACTGCACATATTATACACATACTACAGACCCTGTGAATATTCCCTTGGTCCACTGCACATATTATACTACAGACTATAGACCCCGTGAATATTCCCTTGGCCCACTGCACATATCATACTACAGACTATAGACAGACCCTGTGAATATTCCCTTGGCTCACTGCACATATCATACACATACCACAGACCCTGTGAATATTCCCTTAGCCCACTGCACATATCATACACATACCACAGACCCAGTGAATATTCCCTTGGCCGACTGGGCAGTGTCAGAGAAAGAAAAGGCGGCGCCTCGCGCTCTAACTAACAGCCGACAATTTGGCCCACTTCTGACAGTAATCCCGCCAAATCCAGACGCAGACACGACAGTGGCATCCAAATCCCCCACGGGGGCGGTTGGCGGGTGCTCTGTTGGGGGAGGTTCGCTCTTTCTTTCTTATCAGACTTCTATCGTCCTTGTCTTCTCTCCTCCTGTTTTGCGTTTGTTAATCTCCGAACTTGTACGACCTAATTGAATGGCAAGTGCTGTAAAACGCTTACTACTAAATCATCATCATCATCATCATCATCATCATCATCATCATCATCATCATCATCATCCAGTGCCAGATCTGCGACAGACATCGGCGATCATGGTTCTCCATTCATTCCTTTGCTCGGATGCTCTTAAAAAAGCTACGTTTCCCTGGTCTTTCCCCGTTACCCATTTCTTTAGGTTCTCTAAGTAGGTTGCTCTGGGCCTACCCCTGCCTCGTTTGCCTTCGGTTTTGTCAGTGAGAGCTAGATGTTCAAGGCCTTTATGGCTACTGAGGTGTCCCAGAAACTGCATTCGTCGTTTCCTGATTTTTTATAACAGGGAGCGTCCCACGTGGGCTTCATCACCACTAAATCAACAACACAAATAACAGCAACAAAATTACCACCC